CACCGAAGGGCTCCAACGGCGGCGCTCGCATGCGCATCCCCTACCCAGCACAGCGCCTCGTGGCCCCATAAGGAGCTCCACCGAATGCCCCAGTGGCGGTGTTCGCATGCGTTTCCCCCATCCAGCACGACGTTTAGTGGCCCCATAGGGGGACCTCCACCGAAGGCCCCAGTGGCGGTGTTCGCATGCGCTTCCCATGCCCAGTGCAGCGTTTCGTGGGCCCATAAGGAACTCCACCGGAGGCACCAGTGGCGGTGTTCGCATGCGTTCCCTCCACCCAGTACACTGTTTCATTGCCCCGTAGGGAGCTCCACCGAATGCCTCAGTGGCAGTGTTTGCATGCGCACCCCCACCCTACTTTAGTGGCCCCATAGGGAGCTCCACCAAAAACCCCAGTGTCGGTATTCGCATGCGTTTCCCCCACCCCAGTACAACGTGTCGCTGCCACATAGGGGGCTCCACCGAAGACCCCAGTGGCGGCCCCGCCCCATTGCAGCGCACCCCTCACACTGTTCGCGGCCCCGTAATGGTTTCCGCCTAAAGCACCAGGGGCAGCGCCCACATGGCGGCCCGGCCACACATCGGCACACCCTTCGCATGCTTCATGGCCCCATGAGGAGATCCCCCGAAGGCGATACCCGCCACGACGGTACTCACACCTGCAAATTGTTGGGTCCTTCGCCAGGATATTTGGCGCCCGGGGGGCCACAAGGACCTCCGAGCGCGAGAAGGAAGGGAGATGCGAGGGGGGACAGGAGGAGCGACGAGCGGGCGGAGGGAGGGAGGAGAAGGGCTAGAGTAAACCCCAGATGCATACATGATGCTGCACTACGCACACCCGTCCCAAGCCCCCTCCCCGCCAGCACCTACAAGAACCCCTCTGTATTGTTTGAAGTGCTCCCTCGAGAGACGAGTGTTCCATGGTCCCACAATTCAGACAACAGCCCCACTTTAAAAAGGTGTTGCCATGAGAACGGCGACAAGCCAGCATCATAAAGTTAAAGGAAATGTCAACCAGGAACCCCACTTCGAAAAAGACCCCTCAATCGTGCGAATGGTCTACATGTTACACGTCGGATCATAAAACCTGAGGAAGTCTCGAGCGAGCGCCACACATTGAAAATGAGTCGCCCGCCACCCGTGTAGCCGTTGTACACGCTTCGGCCCCTCGTCAAGAAATTGTAATCCGCCACCGTGCCTACACGGAGTGGGCGAGTTAGAACGCTCCGAACCATCCTGTGGTGTTGGGACCTCGCTTTGAAAAGACAACGCCCCGCGTCCCTTCCTCCTCTCATCTCATCTCCTCCTTCTCCCCCTCCTACCTCATCCCAGCCGTTTCTCTGGCATCCGCATATCTCTGTTTCGGCACACCCCTCGCACGCTTCGTGGCCCCATAGGGGGCCCCACCGAAGGCCCAACTGCCAACGTTCGCACGCGCCCGCCGCACACATGTTGGCACCCCCATCACACGGTCCATGGACCCATGGGGACCTCCACGACGGCTCCAACGACTGTGCTCACACGCGCCCACCGCACTCACTTTGGCACACCCCTCACACGTTTCGTGGCCCTAACAGGAGCTCCACCGACGTCCCCAGTGGTTGCGCTCGCACGCGCCCACTGCACCCATGTTGGCACACCCATCACACGTTACGCGGCCTCATGGAGAGCCCCACCGACGGCCCCAGTGACTGCTTTCGCATGCGCCCACCGCACCCACGTTGGCACACCCCTCACACGTACCGTGGCCCTATAGGGAGCTCCTCCGAATGCGGTGCATACAACGACGGTACTTGCAACGGCATATGGTTGAGTCCTTCGCCTGGAACACGCGGGGTCTTGAAACCGCATCCCATAAAATCGCTCTCCGCCTCCTCCTCCTCCTCCTCCTCCTCCTCCTCCTCCTCCTCCTCGTCCTCCTCCCTACCGCGCGGACGGAGACGATGTCGGGATCACGACCGTCCCAATGCAGCCCACTCGCTAAACTGCCGCGGGGTGTGACCTCGACTTCCTTCCTACTACGCGGACGAGGTCCAGCTTACGACCCGTCCTTATCAGACAATGTGTCGAAATTGCATTGTTCCTACAATCAGTCTCCTTCCTGCAGCGCTGTTGCTCAGGCACTGTGGCGAGGTTTACCATAGGCCATAGGCATCTGGACACATATCAGCAAGGCAGATATTTGGAGAAGAGATCCTTCCAGCCGTGTAACCGCTGGAAGCTCGTAAAACAAATGTGCACGCGGCACAAGGGATAACAGCATTTTGAAAAGAACCGCCCCCCCCATCCGTGCAAGTGTTGGTTTCTTGTAGTTCGAGTGTGCGCGGCGCTAAAGCGAGGACCACATGTTGAAAAAAACACCCCACCCCACCCTCCACCCTTCAGACAAACAAACGAACGTGTGCAACGCACAAGCCGGAACCACAGCTTGAAACTCACCTGCCCTCCACCCGTGTAACTCTTGGAAAATTCTAAGACGAATGTGCGAGGCGCTAGGGCGAGAAGCACGGCTTCAAAACAGCACCCCTGTTGCAACTGTTGAGACGAAACTGCGCGGCGCTAAGGCGAGAGCCACATTTTGAAAACCACCACCCCTTAACTCCGTGCAGCTGCTGGGAATGCCCAGCTTCGGGATCACAACCGGGAAGTCCCAGGCACAACGCCCAGCCCGCCCGACCGACACGTCTGGTGGTCGGGCGAGAAGGGGTCATCTACAAGGAAAAGCGATGGTGGTGGCGGAGGAGGAGGAGGACGACGAGGAGGTGGAGGAGGAGGAGTGGGGAGGAGGAGGAGGAGGAGGAGGAGGAGGAGGAGGAGGAGGGATGGAGGGAAGGAGGAGGAGGGGGCGGAGAGAGAGAGAGAGGGAGGGAGGGAGGGAGGGAGGAAGGGAAGAGGAGGAGGAGGAGGAGGAGGAAGAGGATCGAGGCTCTTAGAAGTTTTGGAAATTGTTTGACTTCTGGGGGTCTCCAGGGACCTCCGAGCACGAGGGCAGCAGCGAGTAGGGAAAATGCGGAGCGAGGAAGGGCCGGGGCGAGCAAGCGAGCAAGCGAGCGCCAGTGCCGGGCACACGGGTGTGCACGCGTGGTTTGGGGCGGGGCGCGCGAGACCGTAGCCCTTAGCTTGATCGTGCTCCAGATGGGAGGGGATGAGTGGAGGAGTGAGGGAGGGACGGAGGACTGGGGGAACGGAAAGGCACCGCTGCTACTCCCTGGACCTCTCCAGGGGTGCCTTCTGGCCTGGACTTCGAGGCGCATCCAGCCGTGGCGACGAGGAAAGGGTAGCGCAGTCGGTGCCTTTTTTATCGGGAGGGGGCAAGACGAGGTCAGGACAGGGACAAAGTCGGACAGGGAAAAATCGGGGATCTCTCAGATCCGGCGGTTCTGAAGGATGTATCGAGCGCCGCGGCTCTCCCAGAGCGTTCTGGAACGTGTGGGGGAGGGAGGGAGGGAGGGAGGGACGGAGGGAAGGAGGACTGGCGGAAAAAGAGACAGTACCGATACCGTTGCTCCCTGGACCTCTCCAGGGGGGTGCGTTCTGGCCTGGATCTCGGGGCAAATCCAGCCGGGGCGACGAGGGAAGGGTAGAGGCATCGGTGTCTTGTCCTCCTCTGAACGACGGGGAGGTCGCCCGCCGAGGCAACCACATGTGAAGCCTGCCCCTTCAGGTCAGACTTGAGAAAAAACGACTGGGGTTCAAAATTGAGGGATGTCTGCAGCCAGGCGAACCCTGGCGGAGGTGTCCGGCGCCCCAGCGTCGATTGCACCCTCAGGGGAAGGGCCCCCAGGCTGTCGCAGACCGCCGTCGGTCGCCGATCGTCGGACGTCGCCGCGGAAGCGCCGCGCCTGGCCACAGCGGGCGCTGCGCGCAGCGGCGGTCGGCCGGAGCGGGGGGCTGCTGCGGCCGGCGCGGCGCGCCTCGCGGGTCTCCGCCTGTGGCGTTCCGGCGTCGTCGATCGTCGTCGACGCCGTCGGCGACGTCGACGTCGTGGATTTCTTCGTCGATTTCAACATCGTCATCGTTGGCGGCGGCATCGGCGGCGCCGTCGTCGTGTTCGGCGACGACGACAACAACAACAACGACTACGACGACAGCGACGATGACGACGGCAGCGGCGGCGGTGACGGCGGCGGCGGCGGCGAGCGAGGATCGAGGCTACTGGTTTTCTGGTCGAAGGTCGAGGTTCTGGACGTCGTTGGACGGAAGTTGTCGAGACTTATTTGGAAGCCGGCTTCCTGGCCCTCCAGCGGCTGGGAGCTGCTCGAAATTCTTGGCAAGACGAACCCCAAAAGACGTCAACGCCGCCGCCGCCGCCGCCAGTCGTCAGCGTCGTCATTGTCTAGCCGGCTTCCTGGCCCTTCAGCGGCTGGGAGCTGCTCGAAATTCTTGGCAAGACGAACCCCAAGAGACGTCAACGCCGCCGCCGCCGCCGCCGCCGCCAGTCGTCAGCGTCGTCATGGTCTTCGTCGACGTCATCGTCGGTCACCCACGGCGTCGCCGACATCGTCGTCAAGGTCGCCGCCGAAACCGTCAGTTGTCGCCGTCGTCTTCGGCATCGTGACCGTAGTCGGGTTCGTGTTCGTCGTCGTCGACGTCGACGTCGGTCGAAGCCGACGTGATGGAAGGAGAAGGGACATGAGAAAGAGGCGGGGGAGGAGAAGGAGGAGGAGGAGGAAGAGAACCAGGAGGAGGAGGAAGACGACGACGACGACGACGACGAGGACGACGACGACGACGAGGACAACGACGACGACGCCGACGACGACGACGACGCCGACGCCGACGACGACGCCGACGCAGACGCCGACGCCGACGCCGACGCCGACGCCGACGCCGACGGCGGGCGGCGATTGTTTCCTCGCGCGGACTGCCCCTTTCCCCCAGAGGTGGCCGCCAGCGCGGCGGCGTTGCGCCAACGCCCAGGCCAGTGCGTCGACTGGGTCTGAGCCCCCCCATCCCCCCCAGGTGGCCGCCAGCGCAGCGGCGGCCGCCAGCGGGGCGGCTCACGCCTCGCCCGCGGCGCCGCCGCGGAGGCCCTCGCGCACGCCCTTCAGCAGCGTCGAAATGACGGTGCCGTCCTCCTGCGGAAACACCTGGGGTCTTCACGACCAACCCTGGTCCTCCTCCTTCTCCTCCTCCTCCTCCTTCTCCTCATCCGCCTCCTCCTCGTGTTCCTCCTCCTCCTCCCCCTGTCAGGTACCTAAACGTCGGACGTTGCCAGGGGTTCCAATATTCAGAAGTTCCCCAGCCCGGTAAGATCTGCACCAGAGTACCAGGCCCCATTGAACCAAACGTTGCCCCAGTAAGGCATGACCTCGCAAAAGCAGATGGTCAAGCCTCCTCCTCCTCCTCCTTTTCCTGTTCCTCCTCGTCCTCCTCCTCGTCCTACTCGTCCTCCTCCTCCTCCTCCTCCTCCTCCTCTTCCCCGTCCTCCTCGTCCTCCGTGTCCTCCTCCTTCTCCTCGTCCTCGTTGTCCTCCTCGTCCTCGTCCCCTTCCTCCTCATCGTCGTCGTCTTCTTCCTCCTCCTCCTCATTCTCCTCCTTCGCTTCCTCCTCCTCCTCCTTCGCTTCCTCCTCCTCCTCCTCATCCTCCTCGTCCTCCCCCCCGCCTCCTCCTCCTCCTCCTCCTCCTCCGCCGCCTCCTCCTCCTCCGCCTCCTCCTCCTCCTCCTCCGCTTCCGCCTCCTCCTCCTCCTCCTCCTCCTCCGCCTCCGCCTCCTCCTCCTCCTCCTCATCATCATCATCAGCAGCAGCATCATCATCCGCCTCCTCCTCCTCCTCCGCCTCCGCCTCGTCATCACCAGCATCAGCATCCTCAACATCATCCGCATCCCCGTCTTATGTGTCTCAGTATTATTGTTATCATCTTTATCGTCATTAGTATTATTAGTATTAGCATTATTAATATCATCATTACTAATACTCATATTCGTATGACTACTTGTGTTACCATTGTGTGCAAAATCCTGAGTATGAGTAGTAGCAGCTGTATTCGTAGTATTAGTACTAGTAATGATATTGTTAGTGCTAATACCAGTACTAATATTAGGAATGTCATTAGTCTGAGTTTGATTGCTATTATTGTTTGTATAGCAAGTATTGCTACCATTATTAAAAACAATAGTATGAGTCTGCTTCGCAGTACTTTTCGTATTATTTTCTTAGTTGTATCAGAACTGCTAGAAGTAGTCTGATTACTAATGGCGTTTATTCTAGTCTTATTCTTCGTCTTGTTGATACTCATATGATTAGTATCAGTAATCGTATTATTAGCACTGTTATTAGTAGGCGGCAACGGTGTGCCAGGGGCTGCTGCCGGCGGCGCGCGCGCCGCCGAACGCGGGGAGCGTGAACGCCAGAGCGCTCGTAAGGGGCCCAACAAAAATCAGCGCAGGGATGAATAACAGCAGCAGCGACAACAACACCAACACCAACACCAATAACCACAACCATAACCACAACCACAAACACAAACACAACAACAACAACAACAACAACAACAACAGCAGCAACAACAACAAAACAGCAGCAGCAACAACAACAACCACAACCACAACACACCACAACAGCAAGAGCAACAGCAAGAACAATAAGAACAGCAACAACAGCAGCAGCAACAACAACAGCGGCATGCCAATGTAAGACTGTTCGCTCTTACCTGCTCGAGTGCCAGTCAAGATGCACATCCCAAACCATCGATACCCGCACTCTTCGTTTTCGATTGTACCCCCATAAGGGTATATCTTCCTAGTGCAGCGTATACTTCGTGCAGCCCCTAACGGGCCCTAACGCATGGGAAGAGAGGACGGATGGAAGGAAGAGACAAAACGCAGGCGGGTTGCTGAACCGTGCGTCCTGCATGAATCGCGATAAGTCTCGAGAGACAGCGCGATTACCAAATAAATCACCCGGAAATCCACAGCGAGAGCGTGATTCCGGAGTGTCGGGGGCGCGGCGTCTGAATAGATTACGAAGAATTCCCGCGCGAGAGCGCGATTCCTGCATAATTTGTAAGGAAACTGCGCGCGAGAGCGCGACTTGTGAACACATAAATCGGCGACACGCAAGAGTGACCCTGGGTAAGAGCGACCTTTGTAGGAGTGACCTTTGATGCGCGGCCTTTGGGGGGCCGCAGGGGGACCAAAACCCGAGCGCGCAGGACGCTACTATCGCATCGCGTGCCCCAATAGGCCCGCACCAAAGGTCACTCCAGCGAAATGTCACTCTTACGTGTAGTCGACCAAAGTATCAGGCAGTATCAGGCGGGAGCAGCTGTTGTTGTGAGCCGGGGACCAGAGGTCCAGCTTGGTGACACCTCAATTCCCATAGAATAAACCAGCAAAACAAAAGAACGGTATGAGCCCCGAGAGGTACACACTAGCTGAAAGAATCAAACGTTACCAGGCAGAAGGGAACAACCATAATTATCATTAAGAACTGGAAACACAACAACAACAACAACAACAACAGCAACAACACCTTCAACAACAACCACAACGATAACAACTACAACAACAACAACAACAAGACCAATAACAATAATAACAACAATCATTATAAGACAGTTCGCTCTTACTTGCCCGTGTGTCATTCAAAACGAGTTCCCCACACCCTCGATACCCGCCCTTTTTGTCTTCGATCACACCCCCTTTGGGAGGATTATTTCTCTTTGCGGGGGGCGGCAGGCTTAGACAGGCGGACAAACCTGAACGGGCGGACAATCCTTCGTGGGCGTACATGCGCCCGCCATTGGAATTGATGTGGGCCCTGCAAAAAAAGGAGGGGGAGAACGAGGGAGAATGGGAGGAAGGGAGGGGAGGGACGAAGGGAGACGGGAAACGCTAGGAGAGAAGGAGCGAAGAGGGGGCGGTTGAATAGAGGCAGAGAGAGAGAGAGAGATAAGAGAGGTAGAGAAAGAGAGAGAGAGAGGGGAGAGAGAGAGAGAGAGAGAGAGAGAAAAAAAAAAAAAAAAAAAGGGAGGGAGGAGGCAGGAGAGGGGAGGGAAAAGGGAGGAGGGAGAGGAGGGAGAGGGGATAGGGCAGAGAGGCATAAGGATGAAGGAAGAGAAGAGTGAGAGAGAAGGGAGGAGAGGAAGGAGGAGGGAGGGAGAGGGAGGAGGAGCAGGAAGGTAAGAACTGTCTTCGGTGTTTCTTCAAAATGGTGCTCCCACTGCAGCGTGGGCCTCATTATCGGATCGGCGCTTGGCTCCCGTCGTTAATCCGCCGGCCCCCTTGTGGGGCCACCAGGCTGCGAGGCGCGTGATTCGCAGTTTCCTGTACCAGTCGTAGGTTGTAGTTTCCAGTGTTACAGTTCTGCTTCTTGCTGGTTACTGTAACTAGTTGACTTCTTGCTGGTTACTGTAACTAGTTGATTGACCGCGCGAGGGGGGGGGAGGCCCAAACAAGACTTTTAGCCTCACCTGGGCGCGTTGTCTGAATTGCTGGGGGGGCTCGAAATCGACACCCCTCACGCAGATCCGCGGGGTCAGGGTCCAAAAACACGATTTGTCTGAAATTCGGTGCCACCCCTCACGCAGATCCGCGGGTCAGGGTCCAAAAACACAGGGGATTTGCCACATTTCTGAAATTCGGTGCCACCCCTCACGCTCACGCTGAAATTCGGTGTCACGCAGGGTCAGGGTCCAAAAACACAGGGGAACATTTCTGAAATTCGGTGGGATCAGGGTCCAAAAACACGGGATTTGCCACATTTCTGAAATTCGGTGCCACCCCTCACGCAGATCCGTGGTCAGGGTCCAAAAACACAGGGGATTTGCCACATTTCTGAAATTCGGTGCCACCCCTCACGCAGATCCGCCAGGGCTCACAGGGGATTTGCCACATTTCTGAAATTCGGTGCCACCCCTCACGCAGATCAGGGTCTCAAAGGTGATTTGCTGCCACATTTCTGAAATTCGGTGCCACCCCTCACGCAGATCCGCCAGGGTCCACATTTCTGAAATTCGGTGCCACCCCTCACGCAGATCCGCGGGGTCAGGGTCCAAAAACACAGGGGATTTGCCACATTTCTGAAATTCGGTGCCACCCCTCACGCAGATCCGCGGGGTCAGGGTCCAAAAACACAGGGGATTTGCCACATTTCTGAAATTCGGTGCCACCCCTCACGCACATCCATCGCAAGGCGTGGTAACCCAAACTGCGAGTACTCCCTCGGCCTTTTAATCCCAAGGTGTGGTAACCAAGCTCGTAAACCATACACGTCTTACCAATCGCCCTGTGTGGTAACCACTCTTGTGATCAGTTGGTTTTGCCGATTGCGAATCGGCCTCGCATGAAGTTCCGATACTGCTGCACGACAGCGCCAAAGCCTCATGACTTAGCTCTTCCATGGCCCATTCTCCGAGAGAGGGGGCCGGCGGCAGGGGGCGAAGCCCTTACGGATATAATAGCGGTATCGCCCGTGCGCGGGCCATTTTTCTGGATCCGAGTCTTCGTTGTCGTTGTCGCCCCCCTCCTTTCCCCGTTGTCGCCCCCCTCATTTCCCCTCCTCCGCCTTCCCCTGGTCATCCTGCTCCTCCCGCTCCTTCCTCTCCAGTTCCCGCTGCTGCTGTTCGTCCTCGTCCTCGTCGTCCTCGTCCTCCTCCTCCTCCTCCTCCTCCCTCCTCCTCCTCCCCCTCCTCCTCTCCTCCTCCTCCTCCTCCTCCTCCGCCTCCTCTCTCCTCCTCCGTTCCTCCTCCTCCTTCTCCTCCTCCTCCTCCTCCTCCTCACCCTCCTCCTCCTCCACCTCCTCCTCCTCCTCCGCCTCCTCCTCCTGCTTCATCAGTCTCGTCCCGTTCCCCTCTTTCCGAATTTGCAAACACGATGGAATATGGTTGGGTTCCCAGGTCAGCTATGACACGCGTCCGCGGGTAGAGAAAAGTCAGCGCAATGGGAAGTGATAAATGAAAGAGGTCGGATGTCAGATATGGCGCGGGCGCACCTGGCGTCTCCTCCCCCCCCCACTCCCTCCTCACTCCCTCCCCTCCCTCCCTCCCTCCCTCCCCCGTCCCCTTGGCTACAACAGGCGCTCCCCACCCTGGGTGAATTACCCCACCCGGCCGACGACTTTGCCGCATGGGAGTCTCGTATTCGATG